TGTAACCGGAACGTTTTGAAAACGATGACGTAAATATTCAACAAAATTTGAGATCCACCCACACTAATAACACACAACTGTACATCATCATTAGCGAGCTTAAGATCTACAACGCGAACTTACGACGCGGACGTCGCATTAAACAAGTTTTATTTTAAAACAATGGCAAATACCATTAAAATATTTTTATCACAGTAAATAAAATGAAATTATACTGGAAAAAATATACAACATAACAGAGGCTAGCAATATATTAAGAAGATGTTTTTTATCATAAGTTTTTACCACTTCTATGACGACGAATCTTTGCAAATATCACGTCGTCTCGGATGGTAGTTTTGGCGGGAAAATGTGCATTCGTAACAATAGTCTATAAAGCCTGGTTTCTATCATTTCGTATGGCTGTTAACGTGTCATAACAGTGTCACAAATCTCACGGAAATAAACTGTGACAACCTTGACTAGGCTTACACTCGAAAACTAGGCTTAGGTAAGCGCGTCCTCCTCATAGTCGGATTCGAAATATTACTTTAGTAACTGTAATTCTGGCAAAAGGATCTAATTAAAATTATTTTGTTCAGCAACACCAATATGGCGGCCGTAACGTCACACGGAAACGCTCTGTAGATAGACGGACGGACGGACGGACGGACGGACGGACGGACGGACGGACGGACGGACGGACGGACGGACGGACGGACGGACGGACGGACGGACGGACGGACGGACGGACGGACGGACGGACAGACAGACAGATAGATAGATAGATAGATAGATAGATAGATAGATAGATAGATAGATAGATTGTTTGATGAAAACCTTTTTGCAGCTAGTAAGCTGAATTATTAAGGTATTAGATTATTTACAAAGGTAATTTAATATAATCTACTATTTAATATTTATTCATAATTATAGAGTTATTAAGAATATTGTTGTAGTGAAGAGAGCTAGATATTAAAAAGGATTTTTTAAGTCGATTGGTTTAACATATTGGAATAGTAAAAGTCTTACGTTCCTGAAATAGTAAAAGTCTTACGTTCCGCTTGCTCGAAGGCGGAATTGTACGAGGTATCATATCTGTAAATGATCTTCATCGCCCGCTTTTGGATTCGTTCTAAAGACTTATTTAGATACTCAGGAACGTTATAGTGATAAACTTGACAAGCGTAAAGGAGAACAGAACGTATACAAGCAACATAAAACTTGATCAGGTCTTCAGGAGACACTTTGGCCTGTTTTAGTTGAGAGATAAAATACAATTTTTTAGATGTTTTCTTGATTAATGAATCAATGTGTATATTTCATCTTAAGTCTTTACTGAGTGTTACTGCAAGGAGTTTAAGTGAGTTAACTGTTTCAATAATAAGTGAATCAGTCAGAAGATCGTCGTTTGGGTGTAGTTGAAATTTGTTAATAGATGACCAAGTGGCAACTTCGTCCACAAGTTTTTGTGCTGAGCTGGATTGAACTCTGGGAATAATCTCGTACGCCGCCGTGTCATCAACAAATTTGACTATACCGTCCGATGATAAAATTTCTAGGTCCTCAATCATTAGAAAAAGCTAGGGACCTAATTTGGTCCCTTGCGGGACGCCAGTAGGTACTGATTTCCATTCGGAGAGACAGTCGTTGGCCAGCTTAACTCTCTGTGATCTGTTGCTTAAAAAGTCACAGATCCAGTTTACAATATGTGGATTCATTATGCCATAGTTAGATAATTTCGATATAAGAATGTTATGATCGATTATAAGGACAATGTTAGGCATAATTTCGACCTCGTCCCCAGGGCATTTTGCCTCCACGGCTGATGGTCGGCGAAAACAGCCCTGGGATCAGCTGGTCACAGACACCCATAATTTCTGGGTGTTTTGATACGATAATTTATGTGAAATGAAATCTTCGTTGTTTGTTTACGAATAATAAATGTGAAGTAATGAACTACTTGCCAACTTATGCTTGCATAACCCATGGACTTGTACACATAAATGCATCTCTCCTTCCAACCATCCGCACGTCCAGACAAACCAGATCTTCCACCAGTACTTCCACCAAATATGTCATTCCAAAATGCAAGACTTACACCTATCAAAGATCCTTCTTTATCCGATCAACTCGGATCTGTAACCTTCTCGCCGATCAACTAAAACTGGACACATGTGGCCTCTCTACATTTAAAACTGTCATTGTTAATTATTACTCTATGTCATTAAGAACTTGTTACAATGTCAACGATCCTCGTTCGTACAAAACCATTTGTCCAAAGTGTAACTCTGTTCGTAGTCTTAGTATTCCAATCTCGTGCTGCATGTTAAAAGACGTACTGTTGTTATTTTCATGTGTTGTTTGTTATTAGTTGATTATTGTATTTGTTAAATTTGTAATATTAGTTTTTCCCTTATAGATCTCACTAGCTGGTGTGTATTTTGCAAGTTTGTACCTGGACGAACTTAATAAAGTTGCTGATTCTCCTTTAACCAAGGGTCGACGGGGGTTAGCTGGTTAGTTGTCTTAGAATATCTATTTTATGTTTTTCTGTATTATATTTAAAGGATACCGGCAGCAAAAGTTTGTTTATCTAGTAGAAAATAACTTGTAAAACCCTATGTGTTGTTTATCTTATGACCTTTCAATCTCCCCCCCCCCCAAAAAAAAAACACCCCTGTTGAATGTTCTTGGAAATATGTCCTTCTCTATGGTGATTTCTTCCACAGCCCTGCGGTGGAAGGGTGGTGTTTATCCCCCCATCCTCAACATTCCTTGTGGGTTCACTCCGGCTTACTGTGGATTTTCAGTAGAGCGTTATCATGAATCCACGGCGCGAATCAAACACACGTTCTCAGAGTGATAGGCGCTTACTCTGACGGTTTTGTCACCGAAGCCCCTAGTAGCTCGATCTTTCTAACAAGACCAGCTAGAAATTTTATTGCCGATGTCTTTATACTGAAGTCGGTTGTTATAAATATGTTCTTTTGAAAATGCAACATATTTCTCAACCCTGCCGAGGCTTATACATTTTATAACGTTTTTTTGTTTAGGTTCGTTCATCGGTGCTTTTATTCTTGCTGCCATATTCTCTGTTATCTCTCTTATACGTTTCATGGAAAATCATAAGTAAGAGTTATTTTCCCCGAGCTCGGAAACTAAGTGAGACGCGCAGCGCCAAAGTGACTAAATCACTTAGTTCCCTGTACTCTAACCTGGGATGATAGTTGGGATCACAGGATGATAGTTGGGGTCACAGGATGATAGTTGGGATCACAGGATGATAGTTGGGATCATGAGATGATAGATACGTTCAGCTGATGGTAGAGTTTGGATGGTAGAGTTTGACAGAGCCCAGGCATGGCTGTTGTCTTTTTTAGCCCAGACACGTTATCAAGTGTTGAACGAGTTGAGGTGCTTGACATTGTAATTGCCTCTTTAGGGCGCAATTCCAGTCCTCGCACGAAGCTCCTCGCTGCGAGTGCATGCATGAGCTCTTTCATCCAATCACAATGCTTAAGAGTTAATTTTAATTAGATGCCTGCGAGGAGCTTCGTGCGAGGACTGGAATTGCGCCTTTAGGCAATCATGAATTCGTTATAATATATATTATCTCGATAGATAAGCGGTAACAATATTTATTATATAAACATAAGTGTTATGTGCCACTGAGAAAAATCGTATTTAAACACACGTAAAAAATACGATGTTTTTACGTGTGAAAATGTCATTTGTTGTAAAACGCATAGCCCGGACGTTTTATTGTTTTTCACTGAATTTTGTTTATATAATAAACAGAAAAATACATGGGTGCTTGGAAATACCAGATTTATTTCTCGTGTTGAACATGCATCTCCGGCACTCGTTCGCTGCGCTCACTCGTGAGGTATCATGTTCAACACTCGAGATAAATCTGGTATTTCCGCGCTCCCATGTATTATTCTCTATATATTATATCCCAGGGACAGTTAATGACTCCTTAGGGTAATTGTTTGTAGTAAGTACGCGATTTAATCACCGCGGCACATCAAACAAAACTGCATGACTCAAATTTGAACAATATGTATGTTTAAATTCCCGCACCCCTATGTTTTCCTTGACAAGTTCTTTGACAGATTTTCCTTGACAAGTTTCCTTTACTAGTATTCCTTTACAAGTGTTCTTGACGAGTTTTCCTTGATAAGTTTACTTGACAAGTTTTCCTAGTGTGTCGTATAACTTCATATATAACTTCATGAAGTATTCGTCGAAAATTAGCTCATATACTGTGCATCGTTTAAGAAACTGGACTTTTTACAAAGCCTAGTTTACATGAGCAAGTCATATTTTGCAAGTTTCACTTTGAAAATTTTTATTTGCTGGTGTAAATTAGAAAATATCGCAAAGTTTTTATTGACAAGCGCACTTGTTGAAAAACTTGCATGCCAGCTCTTCAACAAGTTCCTTTGTTCAAACTAAAGCTGTCATGTCGCTAAAATTGCCCGTGTAAATGACATGCCAAGAAAAATGTGACAAGTAAAGAATTGTTCAGTGTTTACAATGGCAAATACAACTTACCAAAGGAAACTTGTCAGTTGTCAAACGAAAATCATTTACTATGTTTAATGTCTTTAATGTACACGAGCATGTTCAATTAGCCTTTCTCACGCCGCCATTTTTGGGTGGCATTTCATCCAAAGTCTGCGAGATAAGTCCACATAACAGCGACTTTTTATAATTTTTTGGACGAATGATGGTAAATTCGCTTTGTAAATGGTTAGTTTATTTTGAAAAATTGCTTTTCACATTGTTTTAATTGTCTGCATTGGTTAACGAGAATTGGATGCAACCCAAGAATGGCGGATATTCGTCATCGTGAGAAAGGCTAAATTTGCCAAAAGAAGATTGTTCGTATAAACTAGACTTTATAATAAACATCATTGAATTTTTCTTTTATAATTTTATACGGTCTCTTTTTCTATTTTCGCCAAGAATAACATGCTAAGGATGTTCAAAGGAGATAAATCGTTTATTCCTAGGTTTATGAATGTGTCACAGTTTATGATTGTAAGTTTACCGATACTTCCGTTTTAGTTTGGAATTTTAATTTTCATCATACAAATGTAGGCACACACCTTGGTTTAATATTCCCCAAGATATCAAGATTGTTTGTTAGATTCTGCCTTGGCCATTCTCTGTAGTCTAAAAACTTGTTTTTCAGTAGTCTCAAGTCAAGATCTGTTTTCCAGTAGTCTCAAAATTTGTTTTTCAAATCCTACTTGTCAACAGTTGGAAATGTTGATTCGTGTTAGTCGACGAGTTGTTTAATGAGTCGACAAATAAAAATGTCGAACAAACGCGTTAACAAACGATTTGACATGCATACAGGGATTAATACAAGCATTTTAGTCTACTACCTTTATAACAACATTTCCAGCATGCAGACATAACCGTTTTTAAACTGGTTGAAGAATATATTCAACGATCAAGTACTTCCGTCCTTTTACAGTTAATTCACATTTACCACCATTTCGTCAAAGTATATTGTGAAATATATATATATATATATACATATACATATAGTTACGGAAGTTTCAATATTCACTTGAAGATTTTTTGCTACCGTACACCGGTTATAGAAAAGTGTTGTATAAATCCCTGATATAACACCAGTAAATAAAACATGGCAGCAATTAGTTAAATGTGACTGTCCTGAATGTCCTGAATATATCGTTCTTTTTATTAGGGAAAGGGTTTGAGATATCACAGTTTTCAGATTGGCTACTTTATGTGGGGTAGGTTTTTTTGGTTAAGTAAAATGTGTCGCTATTGGGTCGTCACCAACATGTGAACGGGCTTTCCTTAATGTGAGTGGTGGCACCGAAGAGAAATGTTTTTCGCAATGAGTAGCGATTGGTCAAACACCACTATTGGCAACGTAGTGGCCAATCATATGCTTTGTTCGCGAACGACATGTTTATAAATTTAACAATAGATGTGAACTTGGTCCAACCAACTTTTCAACCACCAAAAAACCCTTACTTCAACCATATCGAAATGTCACGTAACGTTTTCTGTCCCTTTATTCACATAAACGAAAGTATTAGACATTCAATTCAGTCAACATTCTTAAGAATCACCAGCTCCTCTTTCAAATTTTTATCAAAGTGCATATAAAGCGAAAATGTTATTGTCTTACAGTAAATGCAAAAGAACTCTTAAATCTGCAATAACTCTTAAATTAAGAACTTTTAAATTTCCAATTTCTTTTAAATTTGAAAAGTAGAGTTTCCATCATTCATTTTTCTGGATTTTTTAAGATTTTTCTTGAGATCTCGATAGAAATCACTGAGCTATATAGAAATCTATTAATTCTAGAAATTTTTTAGAAATCTGTTAGAAATCTTAGAAATCTAAAAAAATCTTAGAAATCTAAAGAAATCTTAGAAATTTAAAAGTGGCAGCACGAGATAAAATTCCGCTGTCTAAAAGTACAGTCAAGACAAAAAACATGGTGGAAAAACTTTGGACAAAAATTGAGAAAAAGTTTGCAATTTCAACGAGCTAAAACTCGAAAACTTTATGGAAATTTTGTTTTATTTAGGCGAATATTTGTGCGTATGGTTCTCTTCTCGCAATGGCACGCCCGCCAGATAAATTTCGGTCACGTTTGAAGCAACTTTTGGGGTTGAAACGGGACACAAGTAGTTCACTTTCCCCACAGCTCCCGCCAATTGTTGTCGAAGAACCTGTCGAATGTGATGAACTTCTTAAGGTAAGGATTAGATTAACGATACAGGTATGATAACTGCTTGCAGGAAGGCATACTATTAACAATTTTTCACAGGTCAGTACAAAGTATTGGACCATAAGACCACTGGTGTCATAACACTCTGTGACACTGTCAGCTGTGTGACTCTGACGTACTGTCAGATTATAAAACATTCCATCCTAAACAACACGCCTCAATGTGTTATATATATATTATTGTATTCAGACAATTCGGTCAGTTTTTAACAGTACACAATACTAATTTGAAATTTCCATAAAATGCGAAACAAAAACATGAAACAATTTACAACACTCTTGGGCTGTCTAAATTTCAAATTCCTTCACCTTGGGGCCCAACAGCAGAGTTAATCAATACCATGAGTCCATGACATCTTTAGGACTTTAGTTGGCAAATTAATGTCCCAAATTGTGCACTGCCAAATCATGTTGAACCTACCTAAGGCCATGGGAATGAAAGTCATAGATTTACGTCCACCGCCCGCATGCCTGAAAAGCTACCGCCTAAAATTTTCATTATTTACAAAAAAATTCATTATTTCCACAAATAAAGCAAAACTCAATAAAATTAGCAATAAAATTGTGTATTGATTACAATAAAATGAACATATTGCAGTGTGTTTGTCCTCAGTATCCACATTCTATGAAATTCCAAATTATATTCACCGAAATGGCGAAATTGGCACACAGATCTTCAGTACTGCAACTGCGTGAGCTCGAGATATATGTAATTCCGTGGCGTAAACGGTAATTCGTGTTTTGATTTACCACCCAAAAGGATGGTAAAAAAATAATGAATAATGAATAATGAATAATGAAAAAAACCCGCATGTTTTTTCAAAATTATCCGGACGCAAATCTATGACTTTCATTCCCATGGCCTAAGGCCAATGGAACTGTAGATTCTGTTTAGCGTCCACCGCCCGCATGTGCTTGCAACTACCGCAAGAATTTTTCATTATTCTTAATTATTTTCATTATTTGTCATTATTTTTAATTTTACGCATCGAAACTTTCAAATATACATCAAATCTTCAAGAAAATTTTAACAATTCTTGAGGGTTTTGCCTATAAGCTTCTGAGATATCAGCTATGTCTTTGACTCGGACCGTTTCATAAAATGAAAATTTCATTTCGAATAACACACGCGGGCAGGTGATGGTAAACTGATACCTCAATTCTACTCACGTAGGATGAATTCTCATGGATTTCTCATTGATAAATACATTTATTTAATTATGTTGTAGGAAGTCCACCCAGAATCAGGCAACAGTCAGTCGTCGCGTGCTCGTGTTTTGAAAGAACTGTGTGAGGTTGTTGCCGCAAAACAATTGGAAGAGGTACATTGCATATAACATTTGCCCCACAACACACCCACAACACATTGGTGCACAAAATTTGATTTTGAAACAAACATATTAAACATATCTGCCATTTGATCTGTGAGACTGAAAATGGCTGAATTTTAAATTGTAATTAAAAATTGAGGTCAAAACATTAAAGCACAATTCAAGGGTAAAGTTCCAAGGCCCAAGTTCAATGGCCCAAGTTCACTGGCCCAACAGGCCAAGCAAATAGTATGGTACTCTTTCTATCTAGGTTGGTTTTGGGCCAACCGAGAGTACTATTGTATTCACAGGGCGCAATGTGACTCAATGGGAACCCTTACGAAAATTTCCTATAGGAATTCCTATAGGAAATCAAAATTCCTATAGGAATTCCTATAGGAATTGAAAATTCCTATAGGAATTCCTATATGAATTGAAAATCCTATAGGAATTCCTATAGGAATTGAAAATGGTAAAAAAAATTCCTATAGGAATTCCTATAAGAATTGAAATTTCCTATAGGAATTGAAATTTCCTATAGGAATTCCTATAGGCATTGAAAATTCCTATAGGAATTCCTATAGGAATTAAAATTTCCTATAGGAATTCCTATAGGAATTTAAAATTTCCTATAGGAATTCCTATTGGCATTGAAAATTCCTATAGGAATTCCTATAGGAATTGAAAATGGTGAAAAAATTCCTATAGGAAAAAATATTCCTATAGGAATTCCTATAGGATTGGAAAATGGCTATAGGAATTCCTATAGGAAATGAAAATTCCTATAGGATTTGAAAATGGTGAAAAAAAAATCCTATAGGAAATAAAAATTCCTATAGGAATTCTTATAGAATTGGAAAATGGTGGGAAAAATTCATAGCCTATACCACTATGGCCTGATACATGCATGGGTATAAGAACTTTACTTATATAAAAAAATATACAGGGGCCGGTTGTATCAAGCCCGTTTAGCTTAAACGGTGGTTAAGCTCAAAATAGAAAGCAAGTCTATAGATTCATTAAACAACGAAACTAAAAGTTTTGAACCTTAATAGAACGATAATGTTTACAACTATATATTCAGTGCAGAATATTTAAGTTGACTGATTCACGAAAAATATAAGAGTGTTATTTAATTTTGACTTATACACCGTTTAAGCTAAACGGGCTTGATACAACCGGCCCCAGATAAATATAATTTACGAAATAACTCCTTCCTACAGGAATTTTTATTTCTTAAGGAATTTTTTCACCATTATCATATCCTATAAGAATTCTTATAGGAATTTTAATTTCTTATACAACTACACTATTCCTATATCGGATTTTACTCATAGACATTTATTAATAGAGAATTTAATACTGGGACTATTTATTTTCTAAGATTAAATGAAAATTACCGCAATGTGCGCGACTGACAGACTGGTGTCTAGTTTTCTTGCCACGCGCGCAAAGCATCAAGGGATAGATCATCACACCTCCGACATTTTTTCAAGTCAGTGTTTGTCAATGGTTTATGTGCAAAATAGAACTATTTTTGATGGGATTCAACTGGATTTTCACTAGTAATACATCAGGGATGTTTGCATAATGTTCAGGTAAGAATAAGTTTATATTTTATTTATAATAAAGCAAATTATAGAGGAAATACCTCCAATCTTCATTTGTGAAATTCGAGCATGTGGTTCGATAAAATTTGAATTTGCCGCGACAATATAAACGGAATTAGAATGCCGATATAAATATATTTATAGCATTTATACTTCAACAAATCTACTATAAAAGTTTTATCTTTGAATCAGACTTATCCATGTTTATTAATATATTTGTATATCCCAAGTGCCAACTGTATATGCCAGATTAATTGTAAATTGTCAGCCATATTTAATGCATGCCTATAGAAAATTTAACTACTTGCTCAAATCAGCAGCAGTATTTATTCATATGTTTTGTTTAAATTAAAAAATTTTCATTTTGAGAGATCTTGCACCAGTCAATGTATTAAAATCTGTTAGCCTTTAGACATGCTTTAGTGTAATGCCAGGAAAATTATCCAATGTTTTTCTATTAATTAAACATAACTATGTGATGGTATTCAAATTAACCAGACTCTCTGCTAGCTTACATTTCATGCTAACTTGTTAAGATGAATGTACTCAACTTTCAGTACTTTTTTTATTTTACCTTGTCTAACACCAGATCATTTTACTTGAAAGAGAGTGGACAACTTTGATAGGTTACCTTGCTGTCTCCCTGTGTTTTGTGTAAACTCATTAAGACCCAATTCACAAATTCACACTAATGTGCTCTATTTCAAAGCTCAATATTTTGCCCTGTTAATACCAGACTATTTTGCATTATTTGGCTTATAGATGTAATTCACCCTATTTAGATGCTTATTTAGATGTAATTCACCCTAAAGCCTAGTTTCCATTTGGTCGTTAGTTGTCGCTGGCACGACAAGCGGTAGATGTGAAATAGTCTAATATAATAGTCTATATAGTCTGTTTGTGTGATATGCAAATCAGTCTTAATGATTGCAGAGTTTTTTGTTGACACTCTATTACATCAGCCACTTGTCGTGCCAGCGACAACTAACGACCAAATGGAAACTAGGCTTAACACTCAATCCCCACTTTCAGTACTTTGATATTTATCAGATGATTTTACTCATCAAAATGAATGTTGGTCATTGAAAGGTTAATAATTAACTGAAAAAGCTGCTGTGTGGCATATTTAGAAGCAATGTGCCCTACTTTTAGTACTTTGTTATTTTACTGTGTTTATTCTATTAAAGTGCTAGACTCTCCACTTAGAGTAAAATAATAAATTGGGTGCATTTGGGCATATTTAATGGGTTAACAAAACACATTGGAATGGTATACATAAAAAAAATGTATTTGTCTTTTTACAGCTATCAACAAAGTATGGATGTAAGGCCTCAGAGGTTCATCAACATATGAGGACAAATATAAACAACATGGGAAAGTGTTGCAAAGTACAGAAAAGCAAACAAGAACAAGAACTTATTTGAGGACTATGTTTTGAGGCCAGTTTTAAACTTAACTTTAAATGTCAATTATGGTTATTACCTATGGTTTAGCCCATTAAGTGCCAGCGCTCTGACAAGTAAAATCGTCTGGCGTTAGACAGAGTAAACTATAGTAAAATAATAAAGTAGGGCGCATCAGGGCGCAATGTGATTCAATGGGTTAACTAAACACATATATAGGAATATAGGCTAGTTAACCCATTCGGAGCCAGCACTTCCCCTTGACATTCAAGTACAATTGTCTGGAGTTAGACAGAGTAAAATAGCTGGCATTAGACAAAGTAAAATAGTTAGACAGAGTAAAATAATAAAGTAGGACGCATCATATGGCATTGCATTGAGGTAGAACGATTAATTTGGCACAATAGGTGAAAACTATAATTGATTTGTAATGTTTAGTATAACCAATTTCTCATATTAATTTTTATATTTGCAATATTAATTAGTATTTATTAATATTTATATCTATTTTTTGCATTAAAAAATTAAGAGTGATGAACAACATTGTCTGTCGTTTACTATTATTTCATCTAGATTCTAGAATTTCTGCAGGAATACCAAAAATCTTATAGGAAATTAGAATAAATTATTTTCTTATAGGAAATTCCTATAATAATTTGGGACTAGACTTGAGAATTCTTATAGGAATTCTTCCTATTAAATTCTTATAGGAATTCCTGTAGAAAAAATTCCTATAGGAATTTTTCCTATAGGAAAAATTCCTATAGGAAAAATTCCTATAAGAATTTGGGACAAAATCCCTATAGGAATTTTTCCTATAGGAATTTTTCCTATAGGAATTCCTATAGCAAAAATTCCTATAGGAAAAATTCCTATAAGAATTTGGGACAAAATTCCTATAGGAATTTTTCCTATAGGAATTTTTCCTATAGGAATTCCTATAGGAATTCCTATAGGAAAAATTCCTATAGGAATTTTGTCCCAAATTCTTATAGGAATTTTTCCTATAGGAATTCCTATAGGAAATTTTCGTAAGGGAAGTGGCCTCTCTAACAACAACGAACAAAACTGAATAATTATAATACTAATAGGAATAAAAGGAATAAAATGACTGACCTTCAAAAACACTGTGAATTGTTTATATTTTGTAGCATGCAGTTGAAGCTTTATGGTTGGCTGTCAAAGATCTGCTACAACCAGAAAACCCAGCTGATGTCCGACATATCACACTCCAGTTTCTAACATCTCTCGTTACTGGACAGGTCAGCATAATCTTAAAATTCTTATTACCAAAGGCAAATGTTGTTTAACCCCCCTCCCTTGTTATTTAAGGGGGGGGGGGTTGAACCATTTGGAAAAGGGGGAAGGGGCTTTAAGACTACAGCTACGATAAGTACCACAATAAATATATTTGATTTTGTATCTTTGTATCACAATTTCTGTTTCAATTATTTAGTATGGAAGTCTCAAATTGTTGCGAGCTCACTTCTTCAAGGTTATTGAAGCTCACAATGTCCCCGATGATTTGATGCACCGGTAATAACTAGTTCATGTAGCTTCTATCATTTCCAAAGTAAAAGGTTTCATATGCGAGTGGTTCAAGTAAAAATGAAACTGTTATGCATAGCATACGGAAAATGACTTTTTTACCATTTTATAACCAACATAATGTCAACAAATACATATGTTAAAAAAGTCATAAATTCTCCGTATTTCAGAGAATTATTATTTTTGATATATGTTGTGTTAGTTGACATCATTCATGTTGGTTATGAAATAGTAAAAAAGTCATTTCTGTATACTGTTCGTTTCGTGTTCACTTGAACCACTCACATATTGTATTTTCTTAAATTAGCAGCTCAAAATGGATTTTGTTCTTCTATAGGTTACTTTTTTTGAAAGCTTTGACTCTTGAGGGAAAAGATATTCTATTCTTTGAAGAGCAAATTGGTACGTTTATTCATAGGTTTATTTTACAATTCAAAAAAGTTGTCCTTCAAAAATCTTAAACCTTAAACATTGAGCGCACTATGTAGAGTCTTATGCCTGTATTCTGAAAGCTCACTCACACTCAATGAGTGGAGCTTCTCTTGAGTGTCAAATTGAATGCTGTTTTTGAATAGGTGGAGGGTTAGCGTCGTAACTTACTACTGTATGTGACTACTCACCCTCCAGCTATTCAAAAACAGCATTGACTGCACTTAAGGGAAGCTCAGATTGTGAGTGAACTTTTAGAATACATGTGTTAAACTCAAGTAACTCTGGAAATTCACTTGGCAAAACAATGCTAGAGCATATATAATGAACACTTTTGATGTGTAGGGCTATTTGTGTCACTAAGTTGATGTCCAATCTTTAATTAGGTTCCAATAGTCAGTATACCCATCATATCTTACGTGCTCAATGTTTAATTATAAGGTTTAAGATTTTTGAAGGACAACAATGTTTGAAATTGACTGTATAAAACACCTTTTAAATTTGCACCCTGTATGAGTGAAAATTGCGTTTTAAGCCTTCCATTTTTGTGCGCAAGCCATTTTAGATTTGTCTTTTGGCGTTTGTATTTAAGCTACAGTAATTAGCTCAGCACTTTTTTTGCATAATCATATAGAGGGCAAAACAGTTATGGCTGTGTGACACGTTGGTTAGTATTGTATATTATACTTTCTGTTTTAACAGGCCCATTTTTATTGTCCTTGATGCCAAGCGTAGTGTTTGGTGAGAAGTGAGTATAACTATACAAATAATAATAATAATAACTTTATTACTACAGTATACTATATAAATTTAAAATACTCATTAATAATTCATAAACCTTGTGGCAAATCATGTCAGCCATAATACAGTATGTCACGTGGAGTGACTTTGTACAGTATCTGATAAAACACATGTGGCATTATATAATTGTTCATCTTAATTAGCATGATTATACTATGGTTCATCCTAATTAGTATTCTTTTGTAGTCGTATTTTATTTTATATCTGATAAAACACTCCTACTCGTGTTTTAAATAGTACTTATAGAATTTGAAGTACAGTATGAGACGTTCCTAAAGAATGAGGTGGTTCTACGGTGATGAAGGTACCGCCGACCTAGGCGGTCCGAGATTGTTTGCCCGAGAGTCACGTTTAGTTCGTGAAAGTTGTTTTGGAGATTTCGTAACATTATCCAAAACATTTAACGAAATAGTACGATCGTACAGTATTACGGGACCAGGAATTTTTCACAAGTCAGTTTCCTCAAAGGCTCAAACATTTCTTACAAATCCTTCAATTTATCTATGCAAAATAGGACTGCATGTGTAAACCAGCAATGATTTTAGTACAAAACCAATCGCGTTGTTTCGGAATGCTTTCTTACATTTTCTGGGAATGTTATACTGTAATCTCGCTGTTGTCTTTGCCTTTTTTGGATGGACAAAATTGAAAATGCTGGACTTGGTTCTTGAAGTAACTTTTGACTTTGTATATTATCATTTAAAGGTTGGATACTTTCTTTCCGTTACTAAGAAATTTCATTCGATACAACTCTAGTTATTTGGACGAAGATGTCGTTTCTGGTTTAGTAAAGTAAGATAAAGCTTTCATTATTGCAACTTTTAAAAATCATGAAGTAGAGATATTACGTAACGCACTCTCAAAACCTACGCAGAGTTTAATGGCACTTTGCTTTGACTGCATTTAAAATTTTTGTATTAATATATGTATGCTTGATATACAGGATGTCACAAAAAAACCAAAACTATTGAAATAACGTATATTGTTTTATTTTGAATGTCTCAGCACTCTGCTGAACCCACAAGTGCATAAAAGCTTGACATAAGTAAATTTTATGCATAAAGAAACAGTTTAAGAAGCTGCTTTAAGTTCCCAAGAGTAAAAAATCGTGCGCTTTACGAAGATATTTTAATTTAATACAAAAGTTAATGATTACATAAATGATTACATTACATAAATCATTTTTAGGCAGACATGTCAAATATCTACAACAACAGATAAGGAAAAGGAAGTTGAGGTACGAACCTTCGAATTTGACCGAACTTTTCTAGCATAGTCTCTCTCCAGCGCGGTTTTATTATGGGCGTGCAGGTGGTAATTTGTGAATGCGCGCGCAGCTCCTTTGCTCCATGCGATGGCGCACGCGCAATGTGATTTTAACTGGCCGACTTTTAAAACAAACGAAATCTTTGCGTGTGCGGTGTCATTTAAGCCATTGGTCGGGGTCATATTATTTTGATATTCTTCGATCAAAGAAGATCAAATTATGATGTTACGGTGGTCAGGCAAACTTTTCAGCTAGCCCGGTGTGGATGCACACTCAGAGTAACATCACAAACATCAAGATCAAATTAGTTTCTGTTTTTATAAATATAGGCTCACGATTTTAGGACAGTTTGTTACTAACTGCTAGAGCTACCGTTGTTAAATATTTTTGTAAAAATATTTTTGTAAAAAATAATATTGTTCGATTTTTATCAGCCGATGTGTTCCGTGTGCGGTGTGTTCCGATTTTTGTGATTACATGGTTTGATTATTTTTGCTAAATTTCGTATAATATTTGCTTCGATCTATTATTCTATTCATTATCACGCATTTGTAAGGCCAAATGATTTTATTTTTCAGCAATCGTTGGCAATCCTCGATGCTGTGGTACGCTATAGTTCGTTACCGTCAAGTGCGCTGTATTCATTTCTTGTGGCAGTTTGTAATACTGTGAATGTTGAGCAGTTCTGTGAACCAAGCTGGAGGGTATGATCACTCGTTATCATTTATTCCTCTTACACCAAAGTGCAAGATGATGCAGGCCTGCACATAATTATTTTGCTTAGAAGGAAAAATGTCCGGCCAGAACAAAAATTGGTCGGACATTTATCAACTTTTCTCAGACAATAGACAAAGTAAAATTTTTCATATCGATATCTTTTTGAAAATTAGCAATGAATTTCGTATGGTTATGCTAGTCCACACTGCAATACATCTGAAACTGAGCATACAGCTATTTCAATTAAGGTTGTCCACGAGCAAAGCGGAAAAGTCGAATACGAGCGCGAAAGGCTGCTGGGAACCGCTTTGAAAATTCATTAATTTGTTAGCTATATATCTACCAATCCTAATGCATCAGTAAATTATGGTTCAAGTTATGTTATACAATGTTGGTTTTTGACATTGCCTTTCATTAAGTTTTTAACTCGACCAATTTAGAAACTTTCAACATTGAAAGGGGGGATAGCTGGAAATTGCTGGTTTTGCGAGCTTGGTTTAGTAAAGCACGAATTCCTATTTAAGCACTCGCCGTCCACATGAGTTTGAGATTTAACAATGAAATACTTGTGTTGTTACAGCTCATGAGACATTTACTTGGAACGCATCTTGGTCATAATGGAGTTCTCACCATGTGTTGTATCCTGGAAGACAGGTTAGATATAAACAAGAGTGGTCGTGGAGGGGGGGGGGGGATGGAGTTTCGGGGGTGGAGCTTTCTTATGTCATTTTTGTGGGACAGAACTTGGTCAATTGGTTGTATTGTGGAAGACATATGGAATTTAAAAAGAAGTGGGACTTTCATATGATATCAATAGAATGATTAATTGATTGACTAATTGGTGATTAATTTATTGATTAATTAATTATTTGATTAATTGATGATTAATTTATTGATTAATTAATTATTTGATAAATTAATAATTTATTGATATACTTAATTTACTGATTAATTTATTGATCGATTGATTAGTTGATTGACTGATTAATTATTTGATTAATTAGTTGATTAATTTATTGATTAATTAATTAATTAATAATTTATTAATTATTGATTGATTAATTGATCAGTTGATTGATCAGTTAATGCAGATCAGTTAATGATTAATTGATTGTTTGACAAGTCTTATTGATATTACAGAAATCTTCGTTTTTGTTGACAGTAACAACTGGAACAAATTTTCATTGCTGAGAGGAGCAATATTCTTCGTGGGGATGTGTTTATGGGGTTCGAAGAGAGTGACCAGCCTGCTGCATAAACCTATCGCTGTCTTACCATCTTTCTATAAGGTATAGCTTATAATATCAGGCCTTAAAGTATCGTTCAGAGAACCGTCTGACAAAATGTTCGACGACTTTGAGTTTGGGTCGGACATATGTATTGTGATGTCCGATGACTTTGAGTTCAGTTTGGCTTGGAAATAAGTATGAATGCAGACACAAATTAATATCAGCACAATTTGGAAAAGTCATTTGAATCTTGGCAATGAATTCCCGAAGACGCCACGGTGAAAACCCTACACTTGATTGCACATTTCCAGTTCATATTTTATACATTACTCTGATGCTCCATTTAACATACGAGCCTCTAGTCCTGGACTAGGGTAGGACGTTGGACAAAGTTAAGCTAGGTCGGACACCAATTCACTCGGGTCAGATAAACACTAAATCTCAGTTTCACTTAGGTCGGACAGAATGTCCAGTGATTTCCTCTCTACGTCGGACAATGTCCGTGACCGACCGATATTTTAGCCTGAATATCAATCCTGCACGACTGAGTTTTTATAAAAGATATTCTTGGGCAAACACAGGATCAATCTACCTGAAAAATATAACGAATTTCGACGTTTTCGAGCGTAGGCCTTCATTTGGATTTAGAACCCAGTTCAACCCACTGATCTAGTGGCCAACAGACATGGATTTATCAACTGAGCGAGGGACCAATTTCTAGTTTGGGTTTTTAGAGCCTCTCTGACCAGCTAGATATTCTTATTTGTCAACATTTCTGACAAACATCATATCTAAGATCCCACTCTAACTACCAGCTTGGCCTATGCATGGACCAATGGATCATATTAAGGACTTTTGCCATAGAGCAACGCCATAGCTCCCTTGACTCTGTGATTATGCATCTTGTCTAATGTATACTAGTTTCAGCCAACCTCAATGACATCGCCCGCCAGCACTCCTACCTATCAAGCTGGATCCATATCTGACCCTATTTGCCATGTTGTAGGTGTTGTCATGTGATAATGAAAGTGTGATTTGTGAAGTGACGTTGTCAATGCAAAGACTGGTGAAGAAATATGGCATGAAACAACATGACACTGCTTGGGAATCCATTCTCGATATTGCTTCAGCGCTACAAGAATACGTGGAGGTAAAGCGTATAGATGATCTATGCTGCTGATGCTCTCAGCATACAGAGATAGGTTTAAGGTACACGTAGATAGGTAGACATATAGGCAGGTAGGCAAGCGGGCAGATAGGCAAGCGGGCAGATAGGCAAGCGGGTAAGGCAGGTGGGTAGGTAGGTAGACGACAAGCAGGTAGGTAGGCAGGTATGTCAGATAGGTGGGCATGCAGGTAAGACAGGTAGACAAGTGGGTAGGTAGACAGATAGGTAGAGCAGGTAAGGCAGGCAGGCTGCTAAAAACACTGGCGACTCTGGCTATTACCAATCGATACTTGCTCCGTTCGAGTCAGCCTTCTGCTTGATGTATATTTGCAGAGACATCCATCCTGCACGTCTGTATCAGAGAACTTCCATGTCCTGTTGTCGTACATCGAAGAACTACATGAGAAACACGAGTTTTATGGTTCTGCAGACAAACTGTTTGCTATTGTAGCAAAATGTACGAAGAAGAGACCGGTAAGCATGAACCTTTGGACCTGATATGCCATACCATATACCATACCTTACACCATACTTTATATCATACCTTATAATGTACCATACCGTATACCATGATCTGCATACTATATCATATACCACACCGTATACCATACCACACCATACCATATCGAGTCCACCCTCACTATCTCTCCCCCAGCGCGTTCAGTGGTATAGTCGTGAATTTTTAATAAAACAAATAGCATAAAGAGATACAGTTGAATTTGTCTTACGTGTTTGAATACCAACAATTGGACCTCCCTCTGCCTTGATACATATTGGAGATGTTGATGGAGTAAGATGTAAATGTTTTTCTTTAAAGGAATCATCAGTAATTTTGTTAGTCTCGCATCGTGCACAGTCACTTCATCCTTATTGCGACAACTGGTTTGAAAATATCAAGGATTTGGTGGACAGATATTTTAAGTATATGATCTGTTATGATGGTTTTTGTCTTGTCTTGTCGTGTCTTGTTGTGTCGTGTCCATGAGTTGTGTTCGTGAGTTGTGTTTGTGTGGTTGTGTGGTTGTGTTCGTGAGTTGTGATTGTGTTCGTGAGTTGTGGTTGTGTTCGTGAGTTGTGTTTGTGTTCGTGAGTTGTGTTTGTGTTTGTGTTCGTGAGTTGTGTTTGTGTTCGTGAGTTGTGTTTGTGTTCTTGAGTTGTGTTTGTGAGTTGTGTTTGTGAGTTGTGTTCGTGAGTTGTGTTTGTGTTTGTGTTTGTGTTTGTGTTTGTGTTTGTGTTTGTGTTTGTGTTTGTGTTTGTGTTTGTGTTTGTGTTTGTGTTTGTGTTTGTGTTTGTGTTTGTGTTTGTGTTTGTGTTTGTGTTTGTGTTTGTGTTTGTGTTTGTGATTGTGTTTGTGTTTGTGTTTGTGTTTGTGTTTGTGTTTGTGTTTGTGTTTGTGTTTGTGTTTGTGTTTGTGTTTGTGTTTGTGTTTGTGTTTGTGTTCGTGAGTTGTGTTCGTGAGTTGTGTTCGTGTCGTGTTCCTGTGTTGTGTTGTTTTGTGATGTGTTATTTTGTGATTTGTTGTTTTGTGTTACTTGTGTTCAATAACACGATTTCAATGCCTTGATGGTATTTACATACACACATAGACGCCAAAACTATTTTTGTGTGTTTAGATGTGAAGAACGAACAGCCATAAGAATTAAAGTATTAGACGTACTTTGCAACATTCTTGGAACTTTCTCGCCGTTATATGAGGTTTGAAGTTTTGATTTTCCAAGCAGGTAGCTTATTGCCTGTCCATTTTGGTTTTTTTTTGCTCTCGACGTCATATCTTGTATATCTTGCCAAACAGTGCTCGTGTTCTTTAATTCTGCATTCTAGTGTTCTTCCGGTTTCTCCAAAATAACTAAGGGTGTCACACAGTTACAGTGTCCGAGTGTGGATTTACTTGATTATTTGCAGAAAATGTTCAATGCTCTCTTGTGGTCCCAGAAAGTAAAATATTTTTTTCACCCGTGATTCGAGATTTCCAAAACTCAAGTGACGGGTTTACATATAAACTCCCAAGCGGATAATAGTTCCCTCGTTCCCAGGCTGTTCCCTCTTGTTTATAGAACTCGCTTTATGTTTCACTCTAGGAGGAGATCCTTGAGAACTCAGTGTTGCCATATTTAGACCACATTGCTAAAGATCGAGATATTGCCGTGCGTATTAGAGCTGTTCAGCTGCTGGTTGATGTTATTGAAGGCTCAGATTCACAGAAAGTTTGTGACGTTTTGAATATTATTGAGAAGGTATGATAATTCTCATCGTCATATTGTTATGCTCGTGTTTCCACATTTCGTATTTCCTCAGTATGACGTCATAAACGTTAATACGATTTTTCATATCAACGTTATGACGTCACTCCGTTTAATAGGATGTCAGAACTTCATATTTGGTCAGCTGCGGAGTTGGTATGACGATTTCACAGTTGACTGTTAGCCAATCAGAAACCATGAATTCTTTGAAATCAATATCATATATTTATCCTTTCCAGATAGCTCGGTGTCCAGTAGATCCTCTTAAACGTTACGTCAGACCATCGCAACATGGTTCAAGTAAGGAGCAGGTTGGTATAGTGCATGTGTCCAGGTGATATTGATACGCGGAAAAGTACTGGCACTAGTTGTCAAATAGAAATCCATTTTATGATTAAAACAACTGAATATCTCCTGTAATATACTTTATTTCGATTCCAAATTTTTGTCAGAGCTATAGTTCTCATAACCAAACATAATTACAAAATTTCAACTAGTTTTATAAAGAATAACGAAAGATATAATTGACTGAATACATCAAAATGGATTTCTATTCGGACAACCCTTTCTGAGCGCTGATTGGCTAAAATACGAACACGAGATCACCTGGGTAATTCATGAGTAGTTTAGTCAACCAGATTGCTTTATTTTGCTCACATGATAATACTGGATACCTGGTGAAGTACAACAGTATATTAATCAAGTCCTATGACTGGATCAAAATTAATTCAGTCCTTGGACTGGATCAAAATTAATGCATTTCACTTTAAGTATTGATGTATTCGTACGAGATGTCATTTCAAATCCTCCATTTCTGACTGGACTAGATTTCAAGTCCTCGCATTTCGACCCAGTTGAAATTGCGACCCAGATCAAATTGCGCGGATTTGAAATCTAGTCCAGTCCTCATAGTCGGATATGAAACAATCTATCATTCACTCAAAAAATCATACCATCATTCAATTAATCAATTTTAATAATCACTCTATTAATGAACCAAAACAATTTTTTATATATTTTAATTCCACGAGTTGTTCCAATCCTTATAGCCTCAAGATGAGAAAGTGTTAAGAGACATTAAAGAGGCTGTCTTAGGATTAGTTCGCTTATTCAAGGTATGTACTTTTCAGTTTTAACAAATAAGTCACTCAGAGATTGGATAGGCTTCTATCAGAGTAGAATGCTATTCACAATGATGCTTTTGAGATTAGAGTTAAAGAGTATGGGCAACAAAATTAAATGTGCATGTTTACCTGAAAGATCTCTTTATGCTGTAGAATTAGTCATCTTACAAAATTTTTATAATCTTTCTTTGGTTAGAAGATATTTAATTTTATTT